ATTTGTTTGTTAGTTCTGGTGGCTTCTGGGTGGAGTTGTTTGTGTCTTCCGGGTGAAGTATCATGTCATCTGAAAAAAAAAAAAAAAATTAACAAGCCAAAAGACACAGTGAATGTTTTGACATGAAAGCTTATTTAGTTGAATTATTATGTTGAGATGTTTTCACTTTATTCTTAACAAAATAAAGGCACTCATCTCTGGTTCAATTAATAGATGTCAACTGCTCAAAAATTATATTTCTCACTATAAATCAACTGAACTCAGGAAGAACATTTATAGTTTCAGTAGAAGTGTTTTCTCACCAGAACAACTACATATCATGTAGGGGTTTTTTTGTTTTTGTTTTTTTTTGTTTTTTTTTTTTTTTTTTGCGGAACTGGGGATTGAACTCAGGCCCTTGTGCTTGCCAGGGAATCAATTATTCTACTGAGCCATCTCCCCAGCCCCCATATAGTATTATTTCTTAAATGATCTATGCTAAAAAGCCCACAGAAGTAGAAATCATAATGGAATTTTATTAAGATTATTCTTGTATTTTAATGAAGGGTCTACAGGGTGTTCAGAGTCTCACTACTACATCAGACTTATAGTGATCCACCTATTTATAGCCTCCCAAGAGCTGGGATTGCAGTTGTGTACCACCACGCCCAGCCTCAATTGCCATCTCAGCACATCCTGGGGGCAGGGCTGGCATAAGATTCTTTTTAAGAGAATAAAAAAATCAGATATTTCATAGGACTAAGAATTTGTACATTAATGTATAAAATGAAATTAAAGGAATTTATTTTCTATTATTTTATTTTTATTTTTTAATTAATTTTATTGAGAAAAAAATTGCAATGTGACAGCTTCAAAACAGGTTGATAGGAGAGTTACAACAATTAATACATTGCATATTGTTGTCTTTGTAGTAGTCATTCATAGCACAAGATGCAGACATGATATCCTGTCCAAACACTATTAGTACAGATCTTTCTTCATATTGAATTAAGAGAAAGTAGCTGTATATCTATCCTAACTATTTTGTATATACAGATACAAAATTTTTCTTCATTTATATCACCTTTTTTGTTCAATTTTGTCAGAGATGGTATTCCATTGCCATCCAAATATTGTAGGTGCATAAACTCAGCAAAAATATTCCAATATAGTCCAGTAGTCCACAGTAGTAGTGGGTGATCCACAGGCTTAAAGAATGGGAGAAAATCCTTTTTGGTTGTGTCCAAACTGTACAACATAGATTCACTAAATTTTCTGGGCAATCCTAATCTCCATTCAGGCAACACAAGATTTCTTCACTTAAAATTCATAGATCTGATGAAGACCTTTCTCAGATGTGATAGTAAACTTATTCCTGAGGGTATTTTTTTATAGCAGCACAATTTGTGATAGCCAAATCTTGCCAACCAAAATGCCCATCACCTGAGAAAGGGATGAAAAAGATGTGGTGCTTTTACACAATGGAGTATTACTAAGCTATAAAGAAAAATAAACTCAAAGCCTGCATATATAAATGGATGCAACTTGAAGATATACTCATAAATGAAATAAATCAGAGCCACATGTGTAAATATTGTATTGACTCCCTAGTGTAAGAACTCAAAAGAAGAAATAAAAATTGAAAAATATAACACAGTTAAATGGAAAGACAGAATTTAAGAATTAAACATTGTAGAGAGAGCAAGTAAAGAAGTTAGGATATATGGTAGTGGCAAAACCATACATTTATATAAACAAGATGGTTAAGGCTATGGTCCTTAGAATTTCCATTAGAATTTTGAAAATAGCAGTTAATGAATAGAATTCTCACCCTATCCCTATGCTGACAACTGTTAACTAAGCAACTACAGTGAGTACAGCAATGTGTAATATTAAAACCGCACTTGAAATACCTGTCATTTTTGTCTTCTAAATGCATACTGGGGTATTTTTTCCTGATCCAGCTTTATTGGGGTGTATGTTACTTAAACACTTGCCTAATCCTTTACTTATTGATAATTTTAAAAGTAGAGACAGAATAGAAATCATAAAAATTTTAACTTAATATCTCTCTTCTAAGACATCAGGAGGTTTGCAGATATAGTTGAAAATTACAACTTGCTCTGTGTTACCTCTCTCCTACACAGTGAAAAATTCCACGAGATCCAGCTTCTCTTCCATATTAGACTCTGTTGGCAAATTCTCTCATTTTGCACACCACCTACTTTTAAATGACTTTCAATAAGGATATTGTAATGCAGATGGACACTATCATATGGTATTCACTGGTAGAAAGGAGCTTATTTTTATCCTGCTGCTATAAAGCACACTTTTTGTTTATTCCTGCTGTCTTCAATGTCTTTCCATTCCCAGAAGAGAGAGATGAGGACAATGAAGAGGGAGAACCAGAGCAATGTGTCCGAGTTCCTCCTCCTCGGTCTCCCAATCAGGCCAGAGCAGCAGGCTGTGTTCTTCACCCTCTTCCTGGTCATGTACCTGACCACGGTGCTGGGGAACCTGCTCATCATCCTGCTCATCAGGCTGGACTCCCGCCTCCACACGCCCATGTACTTCTTCCTCAGCCACTTGGCGCTCACCGACATCTCTTTCTCATCAGTCACCGTCCCAAAGATGCTCATGAATATGCTGATGCATAGTCAATCCATCTCTTACACAGGATGTATAACACAGATGTATTTTTTCATATTTTTCACTGATCTGGACAATTTCCTTCTCACAGCAATGGCATACGATCGATATGTGGCCATCTGTCACCCTCTCCACTATACCACCATCATGAGAGAGGAGCAATGTATCCTACTAGTAGCCATTTCCTGGGTCTTTTCCTGCATTAGTGCTCTGTCTCACACCCTCCCCCTGGCTCAGCTGTCCTTTTGTTCAGACCATACCATCCCGCATTTCTTCTGTGAGCTTGCTGCTCTCCTCAGGCTCTCGTGCTCAGACACTTCCATCAACAAGTGGATCATTTTCACGGAGGGAGTGGCAGTCATTACTCTACCACTCATGTGCATCTTGGCCTCTTACGGCCGCATTGGGGCCACCATTTTGAAAGTTCCCTCTACCAAAGGGATATGCAAAGCCTTATCCACCTGTGGATCCCACCTTTCTGTGGTGTCTCTGTACTATGGCACAATTATAGGACTTTATTTTTTCCCCTCTGCTAGTACCTCCAGAGACAAGGACATAGTTGCTTCTGTGATGTACACAGTGGTCACTCCCTTGCTGAACCCCTTCATTTATAGCTTACGGAACAGAGACATCAAAGAGGCCCTGGAGAAATTGTTCAACAGAGCAACAATTTCATCCCAATAATATTTTCTCTTCTCTTTAAGTGTCTTTATTCGCCTAGATTCAAATGCTAGAACTCTAACTTTGGGCCCAACATGGACTAAGTGCTCAGTAAATATTTGATGATTTGAATTGCATTCTGTTATGGTTATGCTCTTTCCTTTCTCTTTTCCTTTCCTTTTCTTTACAATAAACTTGGAATTTTGAATTGATATTACTGATTACTTATCTTGCTTATTAGGCTCAAAAGTTACATATCTTTAAAAGTGCTTAAGTCTCTTATTGCTTGGAAAAGTACTAGTTATTATGAAATGTTACAAGCAATTACTAACAGTGCCTTCTGGGCATAAGAAAGTTTCAGATTAGGGAATTTTTAAAGGTATATCTTTTCCTTTTATCACCTCTCATTCAGGAGTCTCCTCACAATTTTTATTGCTGGTGTATTTATAGTGGGTTCAAGAAAATGATGTAACAGCTTTTATTGCATCAGGAATTAACACCTTTATAAGCTCAGCTTCCTTTATAGAAGAAAAACTGATCACTTTTCTAGACTACAGTAACCTTCAACCAACAATTCACTCTCAGTCTAATTGTCAATGACTCTTCCTAACTGCACATGTGAGTCTCAATGAAGACATACACTCGGTTCAGGTGTTGAGAGGGACAACGAGACAACATTCATACTTGGAGACTCTGTTGCCTGCAATAAATTTGGCCCCTTGCTCATTCCATATTTTCATTACCTATTTCCCTGGAAATTGTCTTTAGCAGCTTAGCAGCTCTAAGTTTTAATTTTGAGGACAAGTAATTTTTTATATTTATTTTATTGAGAAAGAAGTAGCATGAGACAGTTTAAAAACAGGATAATATGACAGTTACAATAATTAATACATTGCATATTGTTGTCTTCATAGTAGCTATTCAGAGTACAAGATGCAGACATGATATCTTGTCTAAACACTATTAGTTCAAAACTT